GAATTATTAGTTGGTCCTACCACAGGAGCATTTACCAGTCTATTTTTCAATCTCGAGCTACTTTCCACCAGGGACGAGATTCAGGGGCACTTCATGGCTTTGGCAGCTAAATACAGTGATATCGCGTTAATTGGTCTTAACTGAAACAGTGGTTTTTATTACTGCGCAACATTTATTTCGAGTTCATTCAAGGGAATTAAGGTAAATTTTTAGCCAATAATCTGTTTGAAAGGTAAATCACAAGACTGGGAGCTACCATTCTACTTGATATTGCCCTTGTTTTCAGACTTGTCCAAGTCATCAAACCACCGAGCAGCTAAAAAAACAAAGACGTGATCGTTACTTTAATGCACGGGGCTCCACCCCATTGATGTCATATTTTAAATTTAAAAAAAACTGTGAATAAATAAATTGCAATTAACCGTAATGTTTGCATATGTCCAGTCACTAACACCACAATTTAATGGATTGATTACTTACGTGACATATCTTTTGTATAAAGCAAGTAATTATACTAATTTATTTATATTTGAAATCTATTTTTCAACTTAATTTACATTTGAACATCTGATGTCTTTAATCGATGTTTAATACGCATTTATAGACCTCAAGTCATATTAGGAAATGAGCGACGGCACAGCGAACCCACCATATTTGCCATGTCCTACTATGTCTGCCGTCTTGTGGACTAATCAGCCCCGTTGTCCAAAGGCCACACTCCGCATTCCACTGATTCAGTTCAATGGTCAGATTAGCTCTGAAGATATATGGGTTAAAATGCAGAGACATTTCCCGCCTATGCTAGGTAGAGGACGCGGTGACTCACCACCCAGCTGAAAGAACAATAGATTGTCATCAAGGAAATTTAAGTGTTCAGTTTTATAAACCAAAGCCTCAGTGAAAAACGGAGTAAATTAGACAACGTGAAGGGTGCAATAAATATGGTATGTTTATTCCAAACCGGGTTTTCGTTTGCCAGTTTTCACGGTCATATGTCAAAAAAATTAGTCAGATTACTGCCGACATCGTCGTCATCACTATCAACGATTTCGATGCTGCTGCCACAAAATTAGGCTGCTGATAACGCAGCTGACAGCGGCTTCGTGAATAGGTCCCGTTAGTGACCGAGATAATAAGATAATATGAAGTACCAAAACATGCGTATATTGCACATTTTTTGGATTTCACATGATGTAATGTCGCCAGGAGCACGTCAATAAACACGCATACGCGCACAAGTAAAGTATACGAATTGTAGAAAGATTAAGGTATTGGAAGCAACCCCTTACTTCATACACATATGATATATAATCCCCTACCTACGTAAACCAACACGTTTCTGAGTGGCGAACTAGTAAACGGACACGTTCTCACCGGCATTAGCCCTCCAGCTTTAGCGTTCCCGACGTGTGATTGGCTGTCGTGTCTTGGTAGGCCAGCGGCAGATATCAGTTAACTAGTGACGTAAGTTCCCCGCCCCATTACCGCTGAGCAAGCTGTTGAAAACTTAACTTAAGCAAACTGAAGTGCAATTTTGAGTACTGCATTTTCATCTCATATTTCTCAGCAATACCGCCTGCCAATAAATTTGACTTTTAGAAATATTATTTAATCCATTTGAGGTGTATGTTGTTTGTGGCATATGACGGAAAAGCTTTTATTCAAATTTACGAACTAATGACGTCCCACAAAGCCGTTATTAATCAATCTGTGTCACTCAAACTCCAAGTTAATCAAAGTTGCATATTTAAAGTTGCCAGTGCCAAGTGGCGGCTGTGTTCCACGAAGTGCTGCTAAGTTCTTCCATTTCTGTGAATAGTTATAAAAGTGGCGGCCATTAAAAACAAGATCGTACAGTGCATATTTTTCCAAAAGGCAACATTTTTAAATATCAATCCATTTTATCATTGCAGTTGTGAACAAGGCTTTTGTCTCTGCATTCGCTTCCTCTCTGGGCAAATTTTTTGAGCAAAACACTGTAGGTCATGGATAGATCCTACCTGTTCGCCAGCGATTAGTATCATGTCCTGCAACTTGTTGTCATGGTCAATGGCTTAAAGTGACTCATGAATTCGGAGCACACATGAAAATTAAAGTTTATTAAATATGCATTCATGGTTTCCTACCACGGCAACTTTGAAGACGCTGCTGCAAACGTTTTACATAAAAGTACACTAGGTAACGAAATTCAGGAAGGAAATTAGTGGTAAAAGTGTTTGGAGAACCATGCGTCTTTGATTAATGTATACAGCCTTACACGGGTCTAAGACCCACTGGGGCTCAATTCAGTTCTACCATATCTAGGACAAACTGTACCCTTTGTAGTTGGTTGCTCTGACGGCAGCCTAGTGCTTGGGTTGTCTACTTTCCTTCATCCCACACGCCTCCCTCCCTACGTCCTGCTCCCGCTGCTAATAAGTACTTAGTGACGCCCAAATCATCGGCATTAATATGAGCAAAACCATCGCCATAAGTGCTAATATTTCTCAGTTTTTAGTCAGTTTAATTTAATAAAATACAACTCTCTTTTATTTACAAGGAACATTTCACTTTTTAAAAAAATTTCAAATAGGAGCATTTTTTGATGCTTTTGATGTCAGCCTTACACAGGTGGACGGAAGCATTTCCTTTGTCCAAAGGGCAGCCGAATCTGATCCAGGGTTGTCATAACATCCTAATTCAAGTATAAGCCGTTAAAATACTTGTTAAATCGTTTTTCTGATTCACCTGTGCATGTTCTTCATTTAAAATGGGATTTATAAATGATTCTTTTGGTGCAATCAAAACAAACAAGAATTTTTTTTCCACTAACTGCTATACTTACGGATTGTATCCAAGGTGGATACGCACGCAACTAGCGTGTAGGCAAGCAATTGATATAGCAAGAAACCTCGGTGATCCAAAGGTTTACAGGGTCAAAGACCCTTTTCCATCACTGCCAACTAGCCATTTCCTTGGAAATGCACCTTTTATCCACCAACTACCATTTACGTAAAAATATCCAGTTGGGCAGCACAAGTCCGTTTTTGCTGTTTTGACAAAAATAAAAAGTGTTGAGGTCAATAATGCAGAAAATCTTTCAAACAGTGAAGGCAAAAATTACATTGCGTTGAGGTGTAGAAGGCTGGATTTTATTAATCATTGGGCAAAAAAAACCATCCATGAATACAAACATCCGGGGTGAATTAACTCTGCTGCTGACCAAATCTCACATGCACAGAGTAAAATTAAGTTGTGAAACTCGATCTCGTTTCCAAAAACCCCTAATTTGTCGTTTTTAAAACCTGTTTCAAACACTGTCGTTTACATGGCGAGAACGTCCCATCGCCAATCAGGAAAAGCCTTTCGGTAGCTTAATTAAAGGTTTCTTATTTCAGCAGCCGAGCACTTTTTAGGTTATAAAATTGCTGTCACAACCAGGCACAAAGGCGTGGACCTTGACATGCGACTTCTTCCCCCCTCCAACAAAAGGTTTCAACTACCGACGCATTACAAACTAGTAAAGCGTCGTAAAGCAGTAGGCAAAGCTTGCTCCATATCTAATCAGCGCCATTTTCACTATTTTGATCAAAAATCAGAACCTTGTGTGGATGACAATAGAAGAGGTGCCTCATGTGACAGCTTAATGGATTTCCGCATCGTGGCACCCACCCCCCAAGAGCCGCTATTTGGAAATCACATTTAATGGTGTTTTAGTGCATCTCAACATGACGGTTGGGTAGTCGTGGTCAGGAGTGAAAGCTAAGTGCATTTGTGACTTCTGTTTGCATGAACAAAGGATGTAGTCACACCTCCACATCCTAGTAATGTAGCGGCAACTTAAACCAAGTAGCGCTCCTGAGTTATTTCTTTTGAAGCGCTTTTCGAGCCACTTTCAAAGGCGTCTTAGTGGATGAAGGCCACTGTTTCGGTGTCACCCCAGGATAACGCATGAACCACGCTGGTTTCGCATTCGTCTGATAATTCAAGTTATGTAAGAGCATAAGAAAATTGTATGGACGTCGCCCATACCAATGAATTGTTAATCGACCAAAAACAAAGATCAGCCTCCATGCATCTACATAAAAGCCTATTTGAAATGCCACTGGGTGTAATGAAGCATGGTAACTACATATGAAAGGATTACGATTAATCTGAGACTTTTTGTGATTCGAAAATACGCTCCCTAAATCCGGCACGTCAATGGATTATCATACGTGGTTGTAGCCCTCAAAGCAATTCATTTCCGGCGACTATCGAAATACTGCATGCCTTGAATTAGTTGAAAACATGACTGTTTACTGCAAGTGGTGACTAGAGCAACATTTGGCTTGAAATAAAACAAGGATACTAAGTATAAATATTTATTTTGAGAGGACATTATTAGAAAAATTCCCGAGTGAGTTTTTTGTGAACAAATGATCCAAACTAACGAAATTGGGTTAGTTCTGAGGAGCGGGGATGGATGGCAGAGACCTACTGTTCAAGACTTCGACACCAACACCCTGTTCCGATTGACATGAAACAAAATGATAAGTGAAGATGCAATTTAGACAAAGCTGAATGAAATTACATCCCATTTTAAGCTCGTTTTCTTTAAAGACAAAAGCGTTGAAGTTACTTCATCGAGGTTCAAGCGATTTCGCTCTTGCCCCCCCCCTCGACCCTCAAATGGCACGGTTGCAGTAGACTGGGCTCACATCGGTTGAGCACACCCCGTGGATATGTCGAAAAATCAAAACGTAGTATACTTCTAAAAAGGGGGAAAACCAGTTGTAATTACAACTGATGAAAGTTTCGGTTGTGTGTGAACGGAAGGGAAAAAAAGTAACGGAAACATAGCATGGTACCACATTTCGAAAGGAACATAAGAGAATGCAGAATAATCTGGGACCTTGATGAAGAGAAGATGTGAGATGAATTAGACAATAAATAACATGTTCAAGCAGCACAAAATCCAAGCACGATTTATACGATGACTTGACAGGTGAGCCTTCAAGAATATCACAGAACGGGAGGTGTCAATGTTGACGAAAGTGAGGCCTGTGAATGAGACGGTGATGGACACGCTGAGCTTGGGGGAGGGAAGAGACGTTGCTGGGAGACGAGTCGAGGACCTCGCTGGAGTCCAAGGCCTTCACAACCAGACGCAGACTTTGCTTCATGCCTGCTGCACACCTAGAAAACACAAAAGACCCATCAGCGCTTGTCAAACGCCATGAGGTAAGGCCACACGGGCATATAGGTCGATGCAACAACCTAACTAGGGCTAATCGTCAATTGCAAGTGCTTTAGAACCCAATTAAACTTAAAGACTGGTATTTTGTTTCCCACTACCTTAAAAGAAAACAAGATACTTCAAGAAGGACCAATTTAATTGGGAAAAACCGACGCTAATAACGAAGAAATGGCTTATCGGGTTTATTATTAGTACTTTAACATCAACCGCCATGCAAATACGAAGGCAAGAAATCGTGTTGCTTAAATGACCTCGAGGTCGATTGCTTGAGCTGGGACATGACCCAACAAAACTCAATTATCCACAATAGTTCATCGAAACCTACCACGCTGTCCCACTGAGAAATTATGTTATGTAAAGGCAACTGGGGCGCTTCAAGAAACGGCGCTCTTAACCGATTCCGAAAGTCTTGATTTTTCCGTTGTCATAAGCCATGGCTTAAACGCCCGAGGGCTAGAAAGACACACGTGAGCTAGACACTAGGCTGGCACCCATAACTGCAATTAGACGGTGGAAACAAGAGAAACGACCACATAAGGAGGCAAAAAGCATAGCCTAGTCATAGTCGCGGTGGTGCATCTTACCGCAACCTACCGCAACGCGGCAAGATCAAAGGCAGATGAGAGAGGGGGAGGGAGAGAGCAATAAATACCACAAAAGAGTGGCACCGTGGCGCCCGGAAAATTTGTGTCAACCCGACACCACTCCACCCCAGCGCACACAGAGGCCCAAGCCAAACTGGACAGGCTTCCCATAAAAAGGCCTTGGCATCAGATATTGGGCAAAACGATTTTCGAAATAGCGTAGTTTAGTTCGAAATGTCAAAGGAACGGTGGAGCAAATTAGAGAAAAAGCTATGTCAGCACTCCGATTTGGCCTATCAACCATGCGCAAGGACTGTGGTACGAAACAAACCATCAAAATAACCTGATATTAGACTGGACAGACCTTTGTATTAACCGTATGCACAGTTTCAATGGAGAAACTAAAATAACTAGGAGCAGGAATTCAAGCGAGCTGCTGGCTAATCCCAGCCCAGGAAGAATACGAAACGCGTGGAGCAAACTCATTATCACAGCTTCAAATTCAACTGAGGAGATCGCTTGTGCCTGATAACGAAAGCAACCGACAACCTCTAACCCCTTTAAGCTAATCGTGTCGAAAGAAGGTAGCAAGTCAGCTAGGTGAAGACAGGGGAAAGATGGCGCCTGATAAGAGAAGCCGTGTCATCTCTCCTTCCGATTTGTCTTTTTTTAGCAAAAAAACCAGAAGCTGTAGAAGATTGTTTAACAGAATACCGATGCAGTCATGGCTTGGTCATTAATGAATGTCGAGCATTCTCTGACTGGCTCTTGGGTTTCGCAGGGTTAGAAACGATAACTAGGAGTGAGTGGTGAAATTCGAAGACCTGGAGGTCACTGAAAAAAAAATTGTATCATTATGAGAGGGTTTTGACTGGGGCTCAGCCCTATCAGCGCGTGGAAAGTAAAATAATGTGTAGTCAGAGGTGCTTGGTATTTAAATGGAATGATGCGTGACCATTACAGTTAACAGTTGGGACATAAATAAAATTGACAAGTGACAAGGAAGACCAAAATCGAAGATAAAAAGAGCCCAGGTTGATAGAGAGCAAGACCACCAGGCTCGTTTCGGCAATTTGCGACGAAAACAACAACAAGTTCGCGCTAGCCACCTGTCTTGAGGCATCGCAGCCCGGCGTTAAATCTAAGGGCGAAAAACCAAGGGACACGGTTGCCAACAACCTGGCACATACATTTGGCGCAACGGAAAGTCAAAACTAGTCAATAGGAGGAGTCACCAATTAACTCCCAGGTGAGGGTGATTGCACCGGCGAAAATAAGGCAGCATTGGCGCCAGTTTTTGCAGACGACCTGTCAACGGCGGAGCGCGCGCGGTAGATCGCATTTACCCACCGCTGCGAATTAATGTGGCTGTATTAACAAAAGGCACACTACCTCCACCAGACAAATGCTCTCGTTCCACAACTAAATTACCATGGCTCCACAGGCCCTAGGTTCAACCACCGCCAGCGAGGGTGTTTAGGCGTCAACCTACCGCAAACGACATAAACAATTTGCATGATTGTCTGGTGGAGTAAGAGATTGCTGAAACTTTCATGTTTAACAGACAGGTGATTTAGTGCATTTACACAACCAAAACACACTGCCTGCTAGAGGTGCGGCTGTTAACACCTGCCCCACGAGTAAGAGCGAGCCACATTCAAGAAATTGCAAATGCAGCATATTGGTTAATCATGACATAGGCGACACTTTAGGTCTGGGTTTGGACATCTCCGTAGAGCGTAAAGGATTGCCTTAGAAGTAAATCGAAAGTCGAAGAGTGCATTGACACCCGGATATTTCCCGAAAGATTCAAGACCAGTTAAAGCTGAAAGGTGACCGACGACGTAATTAAAAATCTACTGAGCGAAGTCGCGTAACCACTTGATATAAAATACGCGACGTAAGCAAATGAGCGAATATAAATGAAAGTGCACACACAATGCAGTAGACAACATAAAAAAGTGTAGAGATAGGGCATTTCACATATACGTATTTGCCCCAACATAACCAGTAAGGCAGAGCCTCCGTAATCCGAAACGTGAGATACATCATTAGCGCGCACACGAACACACCTACCTCGTCTCGGGTGAAGCATCTGAAAACAAGCCACTTGGCTTCCATCTAGGTCTGGCTCAAAAGCACAGCGTTAGTACTAGGCACAAAAAGGCATCGACAATGAAAATACCGCGACGGGGAACGTATCCTAGCAAAGTTTTGTACATTGTAATCATACGTCGAAAGAAACTTAGGGCAAAAATCACTTTACTGCAGGGCCGTAGAACTGGGTACAATTTTGCCTGCATTACAGTTTACACGTGCGATTCGGGTGTTTAGATGGCAACTCATTAGACGTAGAGCATTGTAGTTACGAGGGTATTAGATAAATGTGCTGTCGCTTAAAGAGAAGACAATGAACACTTATCACAGATGACATCTGCGTCTAGTCCGCCTTTCAAACCACAGATATTCGGACAGACGTGTTGATAGGATTATTGTCAGTGATAGTCAAGTAGGAGCTCTCTTTAGTAAACCACGAACATGTGACACTTAAAAAGGGTAAAAAGAACAGCTTACTCTCCAGAGCGAACGAATTGTTCAAGAGAATCCCCCGAGATGAGATGGTTCAGCAAATCGAGGATGTAATTGACCTGAGCCGCCGCATTATCAAAACCTGGAGCACCTCCAACGAAATCCCTAAATAACACATATGAAAAGGATCATTTTGAAAGGAATAACAGCAAAGTTGTGACAGAAGCACTTAACTAAACACACGGAACGCGAGCAGTTTGACAATCATTTGCGCAAAATAAGAGTCAATACAAAAGAGGACTGTGATATCTCAGAAGTTGCGGCCCGAGGATTCCTTACAAGTCTGTGCGGACGCTTCACACAACTGATTTATAAACAATGCATTAGAGATGCGGTAAACGTAGAGGCGAGGAAACCAAAGTGTCGTGAATTTCTTAACTGCGTCAGCGGTCTCGCAACCTGTGTGTTCGGCAATAGACCACCTCATATGCTTCCTTGGCAAGAACAAGCATTAAAAGAAGTTTCTCTAAGTATGGAATAAGAATGCTATGACACACAGTGTCAGTAGTCCATTAACAACACTGAAGTGAACCTGTTAAAACGAAAAAAGTAAGAGACAAATCATAACTGCTAGAATCGGGAAACCGACATACCTCTTACACATTTGTCTCAATTCCAAAAACAAACATTATTTGCCTCAATAACAACTGACTGAATCCTCAAATATCGAATTCACTATGTAAGACGTTTTCTACAGTGGCCATATTTATCGAGGGCACGGATAGCCGTGCAACATCTTCACTGGAGCAGTTAAAAAAAAACAACAGTGCTCCGATGTAGCAAATTGTTATTGACAAAGTCTACTTCTCTTCCATTCCTCGCATCAGAGGAGTCATGTTGGCGAAATTCAGTTTAATCATGGAGACGAACGTTTGAATTTGTTTGTGCTTGAATTGCTTCCCTTCAGTGCCAACCTGCTGTGGCAGTCACAATCAAGTGAAATCAACTCAATGTCGGCTTGAGTATGAAGCATTCAGTTCTGGTGCTACAAATATATGATAAATAAGCAATCACTGAGAGGCAATTGTAGCGTTTTCAGTTATACTGTCAGAACAAGGTAAAGCCCACTTCAAACAAGCAGCCAAAGGTTTCTAAACAAAGCTCTGTAGAGAGGACTTGCAAAACGCCAGTGGCAGAGTCTAGTAAACATCACGATCATTATCACCAATGGGTGCAACCGAATTCTGCTAGGAAGATTACAACAAGGGCAACTGTCGGGTGATAATTGGGACGAAGTATCGACTCAACACAAACAAGCTGAACCCACATTGTGCAAAACACTAACATAACTATGACAGATGGGACGCGAAATGCACACACACACGAACAGAAGGGGGAGCTGGAACACCATGAAATGACACCAGGAGAAAAAGTAATGAAGCAGCAGCGACCGAATTTCTCGGTGTGTGACAAGGTGCTGTCACATTAGTCGAAGTTGCCAAAAAACACCTCACCTCGGCGGTCATGAGTTGCCAAACAAAATGGGTTAAATCCAAAAACCGTCTAGCAAGATCAAGAGTAGGGGTTAATTCACATCACAGACGCTGAAGGAAACTTGTCATTGGTGTGGAATGTAGATTAGGCAGAAGTATGCAGCAAAGAACGGCATTACTGGGTTATTAAAGGACGTAGGGAATGGCTTTATGAACATAAGGGGTCGTCATTAAGCAGCGCATGAAATACAGGACGGATTCAAGCATGGTGAATCAGGCCTGTCTATTCAACCGTGCGGGCTGCTACGGAGCGCGTACCCCTGCATGCTTCAACGCCTGTTCGTAATGAAAGAGGCAGGGGAGAGAGGAAGAGGGGCCGGAACCACGACGAGGGTATTTCCTGATGATGCTCAGTTGAGCGGAACCCGACAACTTGCTAAGCACATTTTGCCGTTAAGTAAATAAGGAAGAAATCTCTTGGTATTTAATAGGGAAGAATAATTGCAGATATCATTGCAGGAGGCTAAAAGCCTGTAGGTGGCGGGCAGTTCGGAGCACGATTTATGAGTTGGCGAGGTGACAAGGTTTTCACAGTCAAGCAAATCTCATGTCGCGCCTGTATTCAGGAGATTTTTCAAAAAAGAGCGTGATGGTGAATTAAAATACCGGGAATTGTACATTTTCCTCGCACGTGTTTTTTTTGAACGTGATGGAACAGCATGGGTGGCAGACGTCCAACACATCAAACGCTACCAGCACAAACTACCTAGCGGAAGATCTGCGTGTGTGCACATGCAATGCTAGTTAATGGACGCTGATTGTTATAGTACTTTTGTGAGGAGGGGGGTAATACGAAACCTAAAAGTTCAAAAAACGTGAGAATCATAACAATTGTGAGGGCCTGTACGGATGTACATCGGCCTAAAATACCGACTTCGCATTCAGTGGCGAAATGGTTGCTCACCGCAGCCAACCTGGGAAAGCCCTGTGTACGCACACGCATTGAATGCAACAGGAATGAACGCTAAAAACGATTTTATGGTTAGTAAGGGTGTCGCGGTGACGAAAAACGAGTGCCACCGTTCGAAAGCCTATTCTCTTGGGAACTACAGTTCACCGCTCTCGGCAGCGCACATCAAACATGTTTTTGTCCCGTTCTCACTTGCGGGAGATGTTGTTCTGGTGTGCTTGCTGGGGAGAGGGGTGAAACCCGGTAAAAACAGGAGGAAAAATTAAAACTGGTAGGACTCTTGAAGCAATTAAAAAAACACAGGAACGGGAAAATAGGGGAAACAGACAGGCAAGTTGTAATTCATTTAAGGGTCTGCTGAGTTTATTCATTCACCTGAAATTAATTGAGCTGCGTGAAGACATCAGTATCGAAGCATTGCGCCCAGTTAGACTCGTAAGAGAATGCCTCATGTAACATGCACATGGGTTCAGTTATCTCGTGGTTTCGTAAGCAGTGGACACAGTCTGAACTCACCGGACCAGTAGGAAATTGAGGGATTTTTAATGCTAAAATGTCATAAACCAATGGACAGTAAACGAAAAGGATGCTCACATGATACTACAAAATAAATTCTACCACAGTCAAATGCAGACACTCCACGGAATGGTGAGGGACATTGCAGAGCGAATACAGTGAAAACTTCAAAAGTCTACAATTAACATGGCGTCAAATTGCATGTGAATATGGAAAGTGAGGGAGTTCGTGCACCAGACAACCAAACGGGTGGGCCGGTGTCCGCTGCCAAATAACGGGAGAGGCTGAAAGGAGAGGTGAGTAATTAAGTTGTCCAAAAGTTCCGACAGTTGTTCCTTTGCACGTCGCTTTCACGACGGGTACACACAGTGACCAGTGTGCTCTGCCCACTTCTGCAAATAAGGGTATCTCCTAATTATAAGGCCGCTCTCACTTGCTGCGCGCCCCTCTTTAGACGCAGTTTTGGCATGCCTCCAAGTGAGAATACACCACCTAAGCATGAATTAGTCTGATAATAGCACACAAGCCTGCGTGACGCCAGTTTAATGGTGATTTGCTCGCAACTGCAGCCTTTAACAAAATTTGAGAGGAAGTCTAAACGGTGGTCTAATAAAGCTAGAATTTAAACTAGTGTAATGTAAGACGTTCATGACTAATTTGATAAGAGAGAAAATCCAAAACAGCAATGGAGGCCCGTTAAAAATCAAATAGACTAAAAGCACCCACAAAACACTACTCAAATGTGAACACGCACAGGTCACTAGAAAGGCGGAACTGAAGCCACTTCTGAATCGGACTGGGCAGCAAAGAGTCTGCTGTCGCCAACCGCCTTGATTTGAACACTTAGTAAAAAAGAATCCAAACGCGGCTGGTAGGTAGTGGTGTCATTGACGAAAGCAGTTAGCTAGGAGACCTCAAGCAATTCCCTACTCTTGGTAGTGGATAAAAAATTGAAAATTCACAGTCAGTGTCAAACATAGCGAATACGAGCACAGTTAAAAGGCTAGATTTTCAAAATCCGGGTACCGAAAATTTGGTTTCAACTTATTTAACCAGGTCGAGTTAAGAAATAATCCGAGTGAATTCCCGCCACATTACATCACTCGCGAAGTTGCGGCTAACGTCTGAGTGAAGGGTGCCCATAAAAGCGTGTTCCACGAAGCTCTGACATAATTAGAGCAAATTAAAGGAAAAAGTGGGTCTGCCAGGCAACCGTTGCTTGATGGAATTTCAGTAACGATCACCCCAAACAAACCAGAAGCAGCATGTCTTGTTGCAGCCTGCGCGCTGGCCTTTTTCAACGCCTGGCATTTTGGTCGAAAGGCCAACACAGGAGAGAAGCTGTCAACACACTGGGGTGCGGGGTGGGTGGGGGGTGACCGCGCTCGCCCACCACCGCCCTGGGTGGCCGCTCGTGCCTTTGGCGCTTGGTCTGCCACACACACACGTGCCAACCTGTTCCAGACAATTCGGCCCATTACAAGCTTTTTTGCTGTTTCCAAAGTAAAACATAAGCATAAAAAACAACCTAATTTGTTGGTGAAAACTGAGGCAACGTGTGCACCAACAAGCCAAGGGACAGACCCATTCTTCACTCATTCTGCTTTCAAATGCCGACGTGTTCAGAAGTATTTCTCTTGGCACAAAACACAAGTATTTAAGTGCTTTCGAAAACCTTGTGAGTACTATTCCCAGTATTCTAACGAGATTCATGTTTGCCTCAAAAGAGCAGCCATGCTATAAAATTAGACAGTGTTTGGAATTAAAACGGGTCTAGAAGTGATGTGCAGAAATCTACATTAGACCCAAACCCGAATGAGGAAGTAGCTGTGACTGTTAGCTACGAGAAGATAACAGCCAACCCTTGGTACGGTCAGTTCAAAATACCATGTAAAGCACAAAGACTAAGGAAACACGAAGTCATTTCATTGAGTGGAGTGACCCTTGAGGAAAGTTAAAAAATCACAAATATCAACCTCGGATTTTGCATAAAGATCCATATAACTACAAATAATCATTACAGAGCAAGATGCCAAGTTTTTCACACCATCCAGATGGTGCTTCAATAGGAAAAGGCTAGTTTGATTGCTTGCAGATCACCTTCCGGATATACACTTTTCTATAAGTACACACCACTGGCCCAAACTCATGCACGGAAAATCCCTGTAAAAGGAGAGCTTCAGGGGATGTTTGTTAATCACCAATCAAAATTGTGCAAACCAGCTACACAAAAAGCTCGCAGCTCCAAAAATGCTTAATCTGGAATTGCCCGAAATGGTTTTTTTGGTTTTTGACCTGGTCACTGCTGACCTGGACAAAATAAATTAGATGTTCATGTTGCCATTGGTAGCGAACTAAGGATTTCCCAAGACTCCAAAATCCTTTCGATACTGATTTCGACCGTCCCCATCGTATTGGCTCACTCCATTTTGGGTTTGGTGTGTGGATCTTGATTAGCCTCTGAACAAAGCAGCCTCTTTGGCTTTCAGAAAAAAAAACACGAAGCCAAGTAGTTCACGCAGATGAAAAATTGTGGAAGCAACTAAAAAACAGTAAACCCGAAAAATGAAAGACGAAAGGCTAGTTACTTAAGACAAATCCTGATAGTAATGTCCTTAGTGTTGACAGGGTTTAAATTATTCATTCATCCACACATCTCATTATCACGCATACAAGCGTCAGCCCCAAATGGCGTGGAGGTATTCTGCACCATAGATTTACAATAAAATGGTTTTGGTCTTCAGATGTTGCGGTCTACGGTGGTCATTCAATTTAATCCACATTACGAAAAATCTAGTTTTGTTATGGTATTCAATGCTTTAAATTAGGTCGTTACCTTTTGGTGGAAGACCAAGTAAGTATGAAAGATACGGTCACATCGCCCACCTTTTTTAAAGTTTACTCAGCTACCTGTGGTGCTGCAGTACGTAGACGTGGATTAATTCATGGCTGTGACTATTTCAAGGCGTATGTAAATACATTTCTATTTAATATTTTCCATTTCGTAAGTACAGAATGCCATATCATAATCACCATACTTTCATCATGTGTGGCAGGGGAAGGAGGCATGTATCGAAATTGTTTTTCACAGGCAACAATTCTAAGCAGAGTGCTCTACTCCGTTAAAATGAGCTGAGCACCTCAAATCTACAAAGCATTTGGTGTGCGTCCAATTCATGAGAAACCGATGATTCGTGGCTTTTAATTTAGCCCATTCACTTGAGGCGACTACTGATGATGCCACAAGAACCACAATACTAGCGGTCATGCCTATGCAGTCAATTCGTTTGGGATCGTTGCCTTGGTCGAAGCCGACAGGCATGGAGTCTGCACGAGGCGCAGTTCTTCTGAGAAGTCAGGAACGAAAATCAATTCATTTATAACGACAGTACCTAACAGATTTAGCGCACTGGTTTCAATTTAGGATTAAAAACACGCGAAACTGAACACAACTATGTGTGTGTGTCGTCTCGTATTTCCACGCTCATATGCGCGCGTGGAAACATAAACGAAGTGTTTTCTTGTAAGAAAAAGTCACAGTTTGACGAGACCTATACACAACAAAAGAGCACTTAGAATACTAAACAGAGAAGAGGCCACACACAGAGAGCCTATGCGCTCACACGGAATAACTTGATTGCCTGGGGTAGGGAGAAGGGAAGCAATCAGTGCATTGTTAATTAGAATTTGTCGAGAGTGGGTGGCCGCCTGGAGATGCGGGGCAGAAGAGCCTGGGGAGAAGGGGAGGGGTGCATTGTGTTCCTGCTCCGGCATGCGACCACCCACTTTGGGAAAAGCGGGGCAGCTTGCTGCCCAATCAGGAAAACTAACATCAATGTGGAGATTGCGAATTTGGACAGAGCGCTCCATGGACAAAACCAACTAATCGGTGTTCAGGGCGCTACTAGTAATGGTAGTAAGGATTCGTCAGTGTTGCTAACACAACTGATTACGCACAAGTAAAAATACATACAAAGCCAGATGGTGACTGAACTCAACAAGGTCTATCGATCACGGCACGAACGCGAACCACTGAGGGGAGGGGGTGACGACAGTTTTTTGGGGCACTTAGTCAATAGAACTCGGGTTTATTGTAATGTGTCCATGAAATGCTTAGTTGTTACAACTAGCGCACACACAACAGGACCTTTAATAAAGGGTGCTAGAACAGTCCAAAACAGGAAATTTATGACGAGGCAAGTGGAAGAAATCGGGCTAAAAACGGACACAGTCACGTAATGCCACTAGATTCACCGGTTTCATTGCTTAGTGCTTTTAGTGTAAGCACTAAAGTCTAAATAAGTGATTGAATATTAGTGCTGCTCGCACATTGACCTTACACTTCGGGGTCACTGTGTAAAAGCAAAAAAACCTAATTTTTTTAGCGCGCACGAAAGCATTAATGGCGTAATAACAAACATGAACTAAGAGGTAAAGCAGTATAGTGTAAGGCGGCCAATCACCACGACGCCCTAGTTTAGGTAGAACTCACCCGGAACGCGCTTGGATGCTGTCAGACAGCTTAATCGCAATCGCCTTCATGACTGCTTTGATGCGATGCGAGAACAGACTGTCCAACTCAGCTTGTCCGTCAGTAGCGTGACATCTGGACACTCCCAAAATAAGGACTAGCTCTGAGTGTATGTGGGATAAATTGCAGAGGGCAGTTATTATTGCGCTTTGAAGGCCTGCGAAAACGAAATACGAACGTGGAATTTTGATTCTGGCAAAGTAAACCGCCGGAATTCTGGCAGAAACCTAGCTCGGTATTAAGAATCGTCTAGAAATCCTTCTTTACAATGGTTTGCACAATGGCCCGCGCTGAGTTTCATACGGTGCATTGCGACATTTTCGTACTATCCGTCTGGAAATTTCATTTGGCCTAATTTGACATCATTCTTACGTAGACCTGGAGACCACGCGATCTCTCACAATAAAATAGAATGATTGTAAGACGTACCGGAGTCGGGAGTATTTTCCTTGTCTAGAGGAGCACAAAGCCACGTGACGCGGAGCCGTGTGTAGCGCTCGACCAAGTTGTCAGTTGTGGTCTTCCAAGCCGACAGTACCCGAGACTTCAAGTCGTCCACATTCGAATAGCCAGCCGACACGTACGCCCTGAATACACGGGAGTTGGCCCGGCGTGCAGCCCAGTCGGCGTTGCTTACGAGCAGGAGCAGGCCGCGCACCTTGCAAGGGAAAATGAGGCATAATAGGAAAGTTGCTTTGTAACGAACTCCAAGATCGGTGCAAATGACGTAACCCACGCACACTAATAGTAATGCTATTGGATAATTACATAGAGAAATGCAGCAGTAAAGTAAACCCCGAAGAGGACGTCAGATACGTATGGAGGTCTAAATGAGAGGCGTTTTTCACACCAAAAGTAGTGCGGTAAATGTAAGCAGGTAGAAGTTACACATTTTCGATGGTAATGCTAGCTTAATTAACGTAAAAGTTAAGATCACAGCGGAACAGCAAAACATGAGGTTTCATGATAACGTGAGGAAAATATTAAGGTTCTAAAGACTACAATGACAAAGAGGTGACGTTTAGTGAGGGTTCTTACATTTTACTGTAGGAAGTGTCTTAGATGGGCACCACAAACCGTACACGTGGAAACGAAATCTTTTAGGTTGACTTGAATGAACTTGGGGCTTCTCGATAATTAGCCGTAACATCACAGAGAAAAAGAAACGTGATCTGGTGAAAACGGGAGGAGTAGATGGCAAATGAAAGGGGTGTAAGTTTGTTGATTTTATTGCAAAAACTGAGCAGTGATCAAAACCAACACAGGGCCAAGCCGGGAGGGGAGATGTGACAGGAGGAAGGAAATGCTCCAAAGTCTGCGCAATTAATAAAAACGGACAACCGGAAGTAGGCGACACCCACTTGTACCACTTCCTGTCCACTACAGCGTGCTGGTGAAGCCCAACTCCACCCCGACGCCCACATTTTGGACTCTCGGACAAAAAACGAGGTTGTGAGGTGTGATGTTGAAAGGATTTAATTAAACGCCACAAAAAGACGAAGCAAGATATCAGAGCCTTAAACCATGGAAACTTAACAACATTACGAGAGGCAAGATGATGAAAAGTAGTGAAAATAACTACTGCTATGGACGTTGGACCCGAAATCCTATTTGAATTCAGCCACCACTACTAAACAAAACATTGGCAAGTAAAGTGACACATTTGACTTGCCACTAAACATGGCACTGTTGTGGCAAAGTGTGACTTTGTTCTGAGACTGCGAGACACATGAGTATTATTACCGCAACTATTACAGGCTTAAGGCAAAAGAGGAAACAACTGGCATTAAATGGGGATGTGGTGTCATGTTAGCAGAGTTTGTTGAGCACTATAGAAAATCCACGGAAAGCATTTTCGGTAGACATTAAAGTAATATGCTTATCCAAACGCACTTGTATCAGACCCAGTAGATATTAAAACTGACCCAAACATGCAATGACGCTCGAATAAGAAGTCGAAAATGTGGCATTTCTCGGAGACTAGACTACGATGGAAGCTTTTTGTCGAAGGCGCATCGATTAAACTCAGACGCAAGCATCGACAAAGGACCGAAAATTTTCTGCGACACGATAAAATGTAGTAGAAAAGGGTAACCACGAGATTCCAGCCTCACGAAAATCCCCACAGCTTGCAAAAACACCACAAGCAACTGTGCGCAGTCAGCTGAGGGGACCGCTCAGCTGTTAACCATTAAACGAAGCACATCCAGACCCTTCAAAATATGTAATGGACTTAGTAACGCCAAGCTTGATAAAAGTGGTCTTCGACAGATCTGTATGCTAGTATTAATGAGGTAGCACAACGGCTGTTTAACATGCAAGGCTCAAGCCAAGAGTGAAAACAGTCATGTCGAATTTTAATTAACGCCAAATTTCAGGCCGAACTAGGAAAGCACATTGGTCTGCCTCATTAGTTTCCGTATATGCATGCGTAGCAACGCAAATTATGCTTTAACACGGCACTATCTGTAAAGCGGAAACCTCAAGTGTTTTTTTTTTGGTTGCGGCCCCTGTGGCAAAACATCTCAAGACCAACCAAGCAGGAAACCAGGATAAGCAAAAAATTAAACAACAGAAAAAATTTCACATTGATTGAAACACCTTGAAATTTGAAAAAAAACAGCTTGTGGAAATTTAGTTTGTGTGAAAATAGGTTGGAAAACTCGAGACCTGATAGGCTGTGTAGAGGTTACCTAAAGCACGTCCTAGTCGGGATGCAAAACATCAATTATGAATATGGCGTAGTATGATAGTTCACTGACTGCTACATCATTCACTAGTAAGTCAATAGAAAGCCCACTGCGTCTTGCTTATACCCACAGCAGGCAATTTGGGTTCTACTGGGGTGAGGAACAGCAGCCTAAGGTGTGGGTGAAGAATGCAATGGTACACACTGAGACTGCGTGGATTGAGTTTTATCAAGTAATGCACAAGCATGCCGAGGCAGTGTCAAGGGCAACACCATATCCGCATAATTTCAATCGAACCCTGGCTGCTAAAATTAAATAAAAAGTAAACCGGAGCCGTAAACACATTGGTATTGCAGAGCATGTACCACTTGTCAACATGAGCACAATAAAAACAGTGGTAGCACTTACACAAGCAGACTTGCGAGATTCTATGGTCCGCTTTTTAAACAATAGATCCTTGAATACAGTAAGCAGCAGGATTGAGTAAACTCAAAATTGTTACAGCCCAAGCCCGGTATTTCAGATGAATTAGGCTAACGACAAAATCTTTTTTTGGGGGGGAGGGGGGGTAAAAAGCCTTTTAGGATTTAAAAACACGGCAACGAATGAACTTATTGGAGGAGAAGAAGGCTATTGGAAGGGAAAAAAATATGGTGAGCACGACACCGTGCTCAAACTGCAATGCGTGCAAAATCAGTGCGCGCGGTGCAAAAGTGGGATGCAGGAGGGAGGGGGCGCTTACCTGCGCGACAATGGCGTGCTGGCTGCTGGCCTGATCCACGTCCGCGGCATCCGGACCTGCGTGGTTGTGGAACGCTGTTCCAGCTGCGTCCTGTGGCGGCAACGAGGCCCTGTTAACACAGAGTAGGAAACGGATGAACGGTGGAAGACCGAAAAATAGCGGTTTTGCAAAGTAGAGCCACGGTTTACGTGGGCTGACAACCGAGACCACAATTCCCCAATGGAAAGGGGTTACAGTTGGTTTCAAAGTCTGAACTTTTGACAGTAGTGAGTTTAAACAGTAAACATCGAAAAACCGTTCTAAGGTAGGCCAGAGACGTTTTGACGGGGGCAATAAATTACATGGAAGTGAACGCAGGTAGGCAGTAGTGCCATTTTGGATGAGCTCTTGTGCACACTGACCACTGAAAAAAAACTCAATACATCATAGACAACCCGACGCAAAGGACGTCTAGAGAGCGCCCAAGGCTTTCCTACTCGATTTGGTCCGCCAGGCGTTGAAGAGTACTTAAGAATCCAACCATGACGTCCGAAAAGGACTGCGAGAAGCGTTCCTGATACTCAGTTGCGTCGAAGAGCTAAGAGAAAGGGAGGAAGGAGGCAGCGGTGAGGAAGCGTCGACGGGACATTTGGGCTAATATTTTACGCCACTTACAGAATTCTCCAACGAAGTTCGAGGCGACATGAGGGTTCTACAGCGGGACAACGACTCCACCACCAAATTCTCATAGGCTAATGGCTAACAATGCACAATGAAAGTACTGATATTTATTGGAAATCTGTAAGTTGCATAGTACAGCGTCTGCAAGCACTAACTTTAGACTCCCCAGTAGCGGCTTGACGCTAAGAGATGGTAAGGGATAATCACGACCCCATTAACATTTACCCATGAAGTCAGGCTACTGTGAATGGGGCGACATGAGCGAGAATTAATGTGTCTGCTGATTTGCGAAGGTAACAGAGCACACTAACGAGGCAATCCATGCTGGGTTGATTACAACGAGGCCACAAACACGCCTAAAATGAGCATCCACTCAGTCAACGAAAAGACGCTTCGCGTTTATGAGAAAGTCACCATTCTAGCCCATGAGTAATCGCTACCGGTGCATGTGCGCAGACATTATAATTAGAAAAAAAGGCACCGTCATAAAGCAAGAAACAATGGTGGGGGTTTTGAAACAGGCAGCGGTGAGACACAAAGGCGCCGCTACCCAACAAATTTGCTCGTTAGGCAAGCACAAAATCGGTTTTGGTGTGATTTTCGCATAAATAAAAGACGTTTGCAGTAAACAGGGCGCGTTACAGGGTCTGGCGTATGCATGGCACTGCCTGACCAGCGAATTGAGGAAATTTTTGGGCACAGACGTCAAGGAACCATGCATGCAACACATGACCCACAACCCATTTCAGGGAAGATTTAACCATGACAGCTGCCACACTATGAATTAAGAAGTGAATATTATGAATTTAATCTGGGGAAACGTCGTAGTTGAATGGGGTAGGAACGCAACTGTATGTGAAACATAGCGATTATTAATTTAAGGACACTCAATGCACAATTATAGATATATAAAGACACCATCATAAATACAATAACGTACCAACTGTGTAATGCTTCCGCCGTCATCAGTAACTTCGACTTCCCAGTTTTCCTTGAAATACAATGATTCGATGGCTGGAAATAAAACAAAGATAAGTTTATGGCCCAGCTACTTAAACAGGTTAGTAGTAAGTTATTTACCATTTTGAGACGAACGAAGTACATCCCGGACGGCATGACGTCTCAGGTCGTGTGAAAGGCGACGAAGTACAGTCTGTGCCTCCTCCGGGACAATATCAAGGGGTAAACTGAGACAACAATTTCTGAAGAACAGGAGAGTAGCAAATCATAGGAAGAAAACCCAAACGGTCGGCCATTACTCGACACTCACCGAAACTCCTGGACGCAAGTGGACGCCCATCCACTGGAAACGGTTTCTGGGGCGCTGATTGATGATGGCTCCAGTACAACCTCCCGAACGCAACTTGCCACTAAGTGAATCAACTCAATATTCAGCATCTAGACGTGGAAAGATGGATCCATTGACAGGTGCCACAACGAAGAGCGCTCATTTTAATGATAATTTGCACAATGGGACGCAAACAAGGAAATGAGCCCAGGGACGCGTTGAAAGTAAGTCCCAACGCACTACAAGACGACTGTGCTTACTTGATATCGTTCGTGCAGCGACTGTTGACCATAAGAGCCCTCCAGGGAGGCGGGCCTCGGGGCTTTTCGCGAGGCCGCAGAGCAGACCGACTGGAGGCGCCAGAACTGAACACAGTGCGTGCACAGGAGGTCGCAGACCTGCTTCACCAGCTGTATCGTCGCCTGCCGTTTCCCCACACGGGCTACAGAGCAAAGCAGCCATGTCACGGGTTACCGAAAATCAAACCTCCTACCTCCGAGCATTAGTTTAAGCGCATTTTCACGTTCCAAAAGAAGGATTTAGACTCAAAGACGTTGCAGAAACATTGACATGGGTTTTAAAATAGATTAGTCGACTATCTACTTTGACTTATACAAATAGACTGCCAAGAAAACCAGGGAACTGAAAAACCGGAACACATTCCAATTATCAGCTACGAGTTTTTACTTCATTTTTCATGTTTTTTCCCGCCATGACAAGTTATTTACAACGTACTACACCAAAAGAGAGGTTTACGAATTAAGATTAGCTAGATGTAGTAAAAGCACTGGGGTCGTGACGGTCCAGGAGAGAATGAGGAAAGCAGTTGTTTGAGATTGTGGCCACAACACTACGTACCCTTTACGGCAGAACGCAAAACGGGCGAGGAGGCTTGCTCAGAGGCTTCTTGGGGCACTCTCTCTTGGTAAGTCTTTTGGAAACATCGAAGCTGGTCAATGAGCCAATTTTTGAAGGCATCAACGCAAACCCAGTACGGATCATAATCCAAGTCTAGCTGCTCAAGACATCTAAAAAACAAGGGTGTTAGAGGCACCCGCATGTTAAAGTACGCTAGTGAAATTATTGGTGGAAATAGTAGCAAAAGTGACATGTAGTAGTACAGGGAATACGGCGAATACTTATTGCATTCACGAGTCACAGGTTTACATCAATTTAATGAGGCGTTGGGTGACCGTCTGTAGAAATTAGAGGTGAGTGTGTTTAGGAAAAAGAGGAACTAGAGGGTAGGGCTCGATGAGTCATGGCTTTTATGCGCTGATATCGATGGCCAAATGGCCAAGCCATTTTAAAGGGGCATCGTCTGGAGTCAGAGTACCTGATTCGCTCCATTGCCTCGTCAACGTCAATGGGGACCTGGAGAAGTTCGGCTTTCAATGTGTCCCGAAACTGGGCTACGACAGACTCGACCTCGGCGTAAACTACAAAGTTATAAAATCAGAAATGCCAGTTTGTGTAAAAATTGGGAAGGCCAGAAATCCAGAAAAACTTTAATTTCGGATTATTAACAAGTCCTATCAGCTTATTTTACAAAATTTTCCCTCCTGTCAAAACCGCCAAAGTCCTGCTTAAGAAAGCGCCTTGTCATGAGTAACTCGTCATACAGCTGTGACTGCGAAAGCTACTTTCACAGGAACTTATCCATTTGCACTAGGAGGATGGGGTTTGTGGTGGGGAAGTGGATTTTCGTATCGGTTCCCAGGGCGTGGTTTGGGTTACTGGTAAAAGTAACGGTGAAAGACACGAAAGAACGCAGGAGAAAACCCACCTCGGCGGAAAGCCTCGCAGTCAGAACTGCAGAAGAGGACCTTGGCTCGCTTATAATCATTTATAGCCAGGTCGTATTCACCCTACAGAAGAGGCAAGAGGCGTTAGACTGCAAACAAATACGCTAAGCCAAGGATCACCAGTCACGCAAGCCCAAACACACATGAAACCAGCCCAAAACATGAGTCCTTATCAAAAATCACAAATTTCGATGCTACTGGTGGGGCATTTAAGCACATTCATAAACTACAGTCTAAATAAATCAAAGGAGAATCGACATTCGCGGGCAAGTTATGTTATCAGAGGATTTTCTAGTAACGCGGAGCTATGGAGGAATGGTGAAACAACAAGTGCACATCAGGGCACTAAATTTAGCAACCAAAATAAAGCAATTTTTCCTAGCAAGACTTCATGCAACTTCCAACGAGACATTAGACCCATCAGGACCTGATCCATAGCCTTTCCAGAACTATGATGCATCTGATATAACGATTGCGATAACACAAACAACAACGGCAAAATCGCACGCCATACTCGATGAGCAAAGACTCAATAATGAAACTTCACAAATCAGCACAACCAACAATTCGCCCACGAAATCAACGGCGACCAGATATCAAGTGTTTTCATCAATTGGTTTAATGAATTATCAAAGTAGAACCTAGATAAACTGACTCAGATAATAATGAAGAAGTCAAATCTGAAAGTAATTTAATTGCTAAACGGTTTGGTGAAAAAGTCACATTGCAAAACGAAGATTCCAGTCTGGTGTTCCTTAATGTATAGACTAACGACGACATGCAATCCGAATACATTTCGTCAAAAGTGCACTAATGAGCGTAGAGACTGCGTAAAAACCAAAGAGCAGTGTCACCAAGTTTACAACACAAACAACCTGTAATGTATGAACAGATTTGACACAAACGCGACATCGAATTCTGGGGAGGTCATTCTTTAATCTGCTTTGATTAGCCTTTTATTACTAACCTCAGATAAAAAAATTAAGCAATATGTGCAGTTTTCTTTCCCGGAATACCCGATTTTACAGCCTAAAGGGCTACTATAGAGAATTTGCTTTGCCTTCACATCGGCTCTTGATAGTCAGAAACACCTAATCGCAGCCAAAAACTTAGACACTTGCTCTAAGCATGGGCGTTGAAGTTGTGGAAGACTGTTAAATTATACTAGACCCGTGAAGTCCATACCAATTTGGATTTTTCGATAGCACTGGTTAATCTGAAGAGGCCAAGAAGGCACCGCCACACCTAGCCACCACTATAGTTACTTGTCATCGTATCAAATTTAAGGACATGTTGGTGTGAAGGTAGCATGCGGGGATGAAGAGCCCATCGAATAACCCACAGCCAGAATTGAGCTGTGGGAATCGGTGTGGCGAAGAAAAACTGCTGCCAGACAAGAAATGTGCACGCGTGTGCGTGTGTGCACAGCTTCACTTTCATGCCCATCGGGGCTGCCGCCTTGGGCCATGTAATACTGTCATGCAGTGACATCGAAGTTGTGCCTCACCTGCTTAATCGTTTTTCGTATGGATTCGGGTAGACGGAAAAGAAAATTAAAACGCTCCATAATATTGAGGACATTGCGAGCCGAATTAGCCGTTTCGCGACATTTCAACACGTCTTTGAACAGATCATGCCCTTGGTTCCATGAGTCTACGAAATAAATAGAGCGTAAATTAGCTTCTTATAGGTGCCTGACAAATGTTTCCTAAGAGGCAGGCAACCCGCTAACTGCGGGGACAACAAGAAGACGATCCATTAGTATGTGCCTATATCATCAAAGCTGCGCTCAAAAGTGGACTACATTAGACGAAAACAAGGTGACGAAAGCCAAGAGACAATGAAGTTTACCAAAATCATAGTAAAAAGTGAGAATCGAACTGGGCTCAAGAAAAAAACTGCTTCTACCTCTATGTACGTTCAAAAACAAAAGTCCCCTTAAAATTGACGTCTGTGCAGCTGAAAGAGCGAGGGAGAAAATGGACGACTCATGATGTGGTAACCTCCAGATTATCCACAGACATGTAGTTTGTGAAACACAAACTCAAGCAACTACTGATACTTCACAATTAGTAATATGTTCAGAGGGAGGAAATCAAGTAGCAAAATTGATGCATTAGAAATACCTCGGGTCTACGAATTTAAGCAGGCTTTACACTGAGATGACATTGAAATTTTGCATATTTGTGCAGTTGTGTAAGAGTTCAGTTGCCAGTTACAAGCGCTCGCATGCACGTAAAAAAGATAGTTTGATGAAAAAAGACAAAGTCAGTCATAACAGCAGTTACCAGTTAGTTTCTTTTCCAAGCGCATTTCCACGGTGCCATCTTTGGCCCTTGACTTCGTTTTCACACCTGAGAAAAGAGCTGGGTTAAGCCAAAATACCCAAGGGGTACGCAAGGTAGTTTGAGTTTCCAACAAAAACCGAAGCTAATTCACAGCCACGCGGTGAATTGTCGCAAGAAAACAACACGACAAAGGACCAAATTACTTCGTAGAAGTCAGAAAAGTTTCAAGAGCTCAGAAGGAATCATAATCTCTAAGTATGCCTTATAGTGGTGTGTGGTAACAAAATAATCTAAAATTCATAACGGCAACATGGAAGCAAGTACGAACTAGATAACTTTTCACCAACTCAAATAATAATTCGCTACCTGGATTAAAACCATACAAATGCAAAAAATTATGCGTAAAAAAGATTTACAAAAAGGGTTTCATACCACTTGTTCTATAGTCATCATGGCCGGGGATGTTTGATTTCTCTATTTCATTTTTCAAATCTATCGAAAGAAATTTTTTTTTTAAAACCAGGAAGCATGACAAACAAAATGAACGCTTCAATGAAAGCATACAGCAAAGTGCAATCAATTAAAGTGTGCCGACAGTAACGCATTTTAAGGGACTACAAAAGGAGAACCTTCGAGGCCCTCGAGACACCGGAAAATGAGGTAGAGGTTGTTTTTGATGACGTTGCTTGAGTCGTGGGCACCAGAAGCCGAAATACTTTGGCTGAAGTTGTTTCGAGCCATCACCAAGTCCTCAAAACTAAAACGAAAGCCAGGTGAGGATGGGGGGTTTGCAGGTGAATGCTGCAAAGACACGAGTGCGGTTGTTTCATTATGCCAGAAACTGAAGTTAGATTAGAGTATCTTCATTTCAAGTGGTGTATAAAAAACCTCGAGTGCGCCCCTCCTTAAGAAAACCTAATTGCCTTGTTCTAATTGTGCAAAGACTACACTCCTCGCAATGTCAACTTCGCGTCCAGCGAAACGTCGTCATATTGAGAACTTAGACATGACAATCAATGGCGTTGAAGAGTAAGGGTCAACAATGGTAAATGCTAGACTAACGTTTCTCCCTGGAGCCTCGTGAAAACAGTGAAAACAATTCGGTTCAGAAAAAAACGAGATGGGTTCGGTACATGGGGGGACGAGATTGAGCAGCAAATTGAGGAACCATTTTAGTAGAAACGAATATCGGCATAACTTGGGTTCACCGGCTCATGTCGCGATTTTCACTGCTGATTCACATTAAAGTGCTCCGATACCCTTAACACAAGTGATTCTTGTGTAGTTTCCCAATTAGTTGCTATTTTACCAACTTTAAACGAATAGAAAATCACAACAAGTAATTCACTGTATTCGCGAGCAACATTGAGCTCCTTTTCACATAACTGATTTAGATCAATGGACAACCACTAGATTCACACCGTAAATATCAGTAGCACAAGGAGTTCAGGCGCTCATCTAATAAAAAGGCATAATAGACGAAGTCTTAACTTACCTAGCATTCTTGTAGTACTTTAAGAGAAACAACATTGGGTCGAAATCTGGTTCCGATAGTAGCACCGTCCCTGTGTCTGTTAGGTGTTAAAAAACCACGGAAGCGAAAATTATTGAAGTGTCACCGGATAAAACTACACGTTAACTAATGATAAGCATGAAATGGAGTCACACTACATTATCCAAAACTTATGGTTGAATAAAAACTAATTAGGTAATTTTGATTTAATACTGATAATGTCGACTATAAAGTATTGTAACAATTATAGCATACGATTTGTGCAGATTTGACATCTAAAATTGAAAAGTCTACTGAGAACAAGTAACAAATGAAGTTTACGTCTGTGCATTAATTTTGACGCCAAATTCGCCGACATCGCCATACGAGTATCAGTACATAAAAGAGTAAAACAGAAATCTCCGACGCTGGCAGAACATACGCGGATAAATCTTCATAAGGGCGGTGTCGGAGAGCGGCATGCTAAGACGAGCGAGTTCAGCAGCCGGAAGACCAGTAGCGGAAAGCGAGGCATCAACCACGTCACCACCCCCTTCCTGTCTCGAGCCGCTTCCTCGTTCGATTATGGCAGGGCACCATCGACGCTCGTCCTCTGGCCAATAACTCACTTGTTCCTGTGGTCCTAAAAACAGGCAAATAGTAGTAGTTGTTAATACAATTTTTTTCTAACAGAAATTCGAATACAGTAAAGGAAGATAGGTAAGAACCATAATCCTTCAAAAGTGAGCGGATGTTAGTTTTGCACCAACACACATAATGGAGCTGGGTTAATCTAACTTTGCAGTTTATACAATCGACCCAGACCGATATCCATCGAATGAGTTTTAGTGAAATCATAATAGTGATGGGTTTTGGGGCGGGTAAGTATCCGATTAGTTCACAAATAGACAAACGTGAAACGTGGGAATCTATATATTCGAACGAGTTCCTTTCCTTGAAGAATCTTTTAGACCAGGAGAGCTGACCAAAATGTAAGTAATGAATATTATGTTTATTGTTTGGCAGTTTAAGATATTTACTCGGTTGAGTGGAAACAACCTATCTGAAATATTGAACTTGATTTTCAATGGAAAAAAGGGAGATGATTGATCTGCGAAGCCATTGTCTAATGGTTGAAAACCGACTGCTCCAAATAATCGGTCAACAATATGTCATAAGCGTACAGAAAATGAGAATTATGCGATAAATTCCATTGAAAAACGAGCACGTACCTACTTTTTGGCCCACACGTTGAGTATAAGTAAGCTCAGAAGTGCCGATGCCACCAGACCTGGTGACAATTACGATTTCCAACTCGCCTGATCCAAGTGGAGTGATAACGGAGAGCTTTCGCGGAGAGAACCATCGGGTACTAGGTGAAACATCAATACCTCCAACAAACACGTGGGTAAGGTCCAACGCTGATTGACCAAAGTGCTCCCCTCTCAATGTCAATTTGGTACCAGGCACACCCTCAATTGGTGAAATTCCTGTTACCTGAGCGGGTGGTCCAGTAGATGTCATAACGACCTGCACATATTAAAATTTTAAACAGCATAAAAACCTCCTCCAATCAAGGCATTTCACCCTGTTTAACTACAAGCCAACAAAATTTATAAGCTTACACCATTACATAGCAGCGAAGCCCATGAAGTCAAGCTCATTAATGATTTTGTTAAAATGTGACATATGAATCAGACAACCTACAAACAACTTCCTCTTCCCACTATGATTTTATAAAACAGCAATACGTCACGAACGAGCCGGTTTTCCCACAATCCTTCTTAGAGTTGAAATCACAAAGTATACCTTCTCAGCGCCGCTTAGGTACAGCACATGCAAGGGAACCCAAAAGAAATTTGGTTTAAGAGACTTGATTTAAATTGAAAGAATGCCAGAGGATAAAGCGAGCCCACATCTAAATGATAAATGCAACAAGAAGAAAGCTTGTGAACAGAGAAATTGGAAGATGCCGTTACTGTTGGGACAAAACATTATTTAAATATTAAATATTTTCAAATCACTTAGCCACATGATAACCGCTGGACCTGTTCAAAAACCATCAGTCAATTTGTACAATTAACACAAGGCTAGTCATAGATTTAAAGATTGACATGACAAAAGATCAAATACACAAAAAATGATGACTACTGGTCACGGAGAAAGTGGTCAACACCCATTCTCTACTATGTGAAGTTAGTGTTTGTCATTAAGTTAATGAGAATTAACTTCTAGCGTTCAAGTAATGATTTTGTGGCAGTCGAAATGGTCGGAACACATAATAGTTCGAGCTTTAGAACTAAAAAAACAACTTGTTCACAATGTATAAGCAGAACAATAGTGTTGCTACGAGGCCTATTAAAATACTTTGGGTCAGGTAAAAAAGACTCCAAATAGGAAAAAAGCCCAGCTATCGCACTGTGGTGTTTTTTGTAGTGTGGTGTGGTGTGGCGTCGGATTAGGGCGCAGACATGTTGGACCACCTGGCCTCAGCCAATCCCGTGTCTCTCTG